CACAGGAAGACTCAGTGTGTCCATTTACGGCCAGTTGTTAGCGTGCAGGTGTGTTTGTGCATGTTAATGCGTGCTGGGGGACCCAAAAGGCAAGGGTCCGACCAGAGCCAGGCCCTCAGAATGTAAGTCATCGTTTAATTATGTCGCATACAAACATTTTCATTGATTTGTTGACCAGTTTGCATCTATAAAACAAACCTATTAACATTGTAATGTGACAGAAGAGAGAGAGAGAAAGTGGACACGATGTAAAATAGTTTTTTTCATTCAGAGACATAGCTGTGATGACTTGACACAAGCAGGAACGACTTTACATTTCAGACAAATGTTGCACTTTATCCGACAGTATTAACAGCCCCCTAATGCGGGAGATGGAACCGAAGAAGCAGATTGGTTTACATTCATTTCTGACTGAATTACAACATTATTGTTATCCACTACATCATCAGGCAACGTGTGCAGTGTGCAGAGCCACACTTTCACCTTGTTTGTATTTATAGTATTGTGTGAACACTACATGTTCATATTTTTGAGACCATTGTAGAGCAGCAGTGATCAGACAGTGGAGTACAATATGTTGAGCATGCATTCCCCATAAGAGACAGCAGGGGTCCTTCTCCTCCTTCTGCTCTTTAACAGGCACTGATTACTTTGCTCCTGAAAGCTCCCAAGGGGTTTATAATAGGCCTGTAATTCAAAAGGCCTTTCTAATTGGAGCACTATTTATTTCTGTTGCTGGAACTTCGCTGTACTGTTGAACTGCTCATGCACTCCAGATTCAGGTTAAGTGGGAAGAAGATTTTTATTCGTAAAAAAGGGCAGCTTGCACACTTCATCAACGTTAAACAGATATGAATATAACGGCACATTAACTAAAGGCTAGGTAGAAAACCGATCACACAGCTGCAGTGTAGTGAAGTGAAAGTGTAATTCAATGTCCCTCTAAATGAGCACAGCTAATGTTCTCATTCGTAGTATAACGTAATAATAATGTACCAGAAAGGACACTCAGAGAGAACAGACCTCCGCCAAGGTCGTTTACATAAGTGAAAATGAATGTGTGTATCCGCCTTGCGATCCGGATCCAAAAGGTGAAGGGTTCTTCCTTGAAACAATTGATATGGAAATTGCCGGTAGTTTTTCTGACAAACTGACGAACCAAAAATGTAACCTTCTTAGCAGAGGCAATGAGCGATAAACATGATTATTTGATCCAATAGAGACTTCAGGCTGACAATCAAATACATGTTTGCAATCATACGTTATCACATCACTAAACTCTGAACTGCTGACATTAAATGTTAATAATTGTCCGGTGTTATGTTGGGATATTACTAGCATAACATCTGAACTGGTTTATCATATTATGAACTCATTTAGAAAGCCAATTCAAAAGATGTTGCTTAACTCAAAAGCTGCTTCATGTTTAGTCCAAATCAATTCATTTAAAATCACATATGTGTCCACTGTGATGCATTACGACATGACAAACTTCATATTATTTTCTTGTTTTAAATTAGTTAATCAAATAAGTATAAGATGCCGCTGAATGACAGTTAACCAGTATTTAAATAATATTTAGCTCTTACTACTATTTAGCTCCTTATGACATTATCAACAGTATTCTTTTATACTGCGGGCAAGTAAAGAGTCACAGATTGATTCTGATTGGCTCTTGCTCAGAGGGCTTGTTATAATGATGAACGGTTCACAAAAGCCGTTTTGGGTGATTCATGAGCTTCAGCAGACCCTGGTGGGTGTGTAAAGGAGGTTTAATGAATGTATTGAGCCTTGAGTTTAGAGACCTGCGACCCTAAGGTCTGAAAGCATTTCCCAGTGTTCTTGTCCGCTTACTGGAGCGTATCTGACGTGGTGGATCCTCTGACATTGTCTGATCTGCCCACTTTCAAGTACTGTATGCACTAAGCCCTCCTTCTTTCTCTCTCTCATGCTGACTAAAGTTTAGTGTCACTAACAGTATTTATTTTAGTAAGATAATATGTTCATTTGAGCATCTCTGTTGTTCAGTTTATCACCTGCTGTAGTTTGGCTTTTGAAGAGTCACGCTAAGAAGAGGATGGAGATTGTCAACCCGCAGATTCTTTGACATGTTGAAATGTACAATTTCAGAGAGATTGTTTGGTTACGTCGCTTACTGTAATAAATTGTAACATATTCTTTTAAATAAACCGATTTATTGATGCAACGTTTTGTGGGTGTGTTCGGTGCAACCTGAGACAACTGCAGGAGTCACACACTGCCAAAAGTATGATCCTACACACAAGCAGGAAGATGATAATCCTATGGAAATGATTTTTCCACTATTCCCCTCACTCTCACTTTTGCACTGACGTCTGTTTTCTTTCTTCCTCTCTCCTGTTGCTGTCCCCTTCACTCCACAACTCTTAATGTCTTTAAATGAGATCTGGGAAATAATTACCCAGCGGGCAGTGAGATGGCCGCTGCATATCGACCTGCATTGAGTGCCTGCACCCTGTAATTAATGGCTATCGACCGCTGATGGTCGGGGATGCTTTCTTGGAGCATCTACATTTGGAAATGCAAACATCTCTGGGCCAGAAACCTGTCCTGCGAGATGTCTTTCCAAGGGTCCAATTTCAGTGCATATCAGTTTCATACCTTGATCACAGGAAGAGGCTTTGAAAATGATGCATCATGGGAGAAATGGTTTTACAATTTCAAGATGTTACATTGGGACTCTGAAATGGGAGCATGAGTTATTTGCAGCTTCTTCCTGTGCATGGGGAAACACTTACTGTCTGGGGAACACGTACAATAGGCTGGGATGTTCCTAATCCCTCCTCTTTACTATAAAAAAAGGAAAAGCTGACTGCCTTAAATCGAGGATAAAATAAGAAACTATTGCATCGCTCCCTTCCTTTCAGTTCTTTGATTGAACTATTAAAACACAGCACGTCAACTATATATAGCTTTCTTTTATATTCCCCGGTTTTTATCAGCAATGTGTGTGTGTGTGTGTGTGTGTGTGTGTGTGTGTGTGTGTGTGTGTGTGTGTGTGTGTGTGTGTGTGTGTGTGTGTGTGTGTGTGTGTACTGTGAGTACTGCACTAGGTCTGCAGCAGGGTCCTTACTTGATGTATGAGTCGCTTAGCAGGACTCTGCAGATGTGGGTGCAGATGTGTGCGACACACTGCAGTGGCCCCTTGATACCAAACATGTCTGCTTCCCACCCTCCTGCTCTCTGCATCGTGCTCCACTGTTTCTGTATGATTCTCCTCTGAACAAACAGCTCTGCAGGATCTGTGCACACCGGGCCGATGGATGACTGAGTCCCTGCAGTAGGGGAGTATCTCAGATTTATTACTTGTGCTTTTTTGCATCTCTCAGCTATGTTAGGCCGCCCCGGCAGTCCCATCACACACAGGATGAGCTCAATAGGCCATTGAAATGAATGGTAAACTGCCATGCCTGCACATATAGTGAGCTTACAGTAAAACAAGTTTAAAGCCTTATTAATAGGCTTTAGGGTAAAGGTTTCCCGCACAGCCATGCCAAAAGAGCATTTAGCTAAATTCAATCATCATGTGTTTGCATTATTCATCATTTTGCAATAGAATATTTACCAAGAACCCTAACATGCAATCTTTGCCAATTGAGAATATTTGTCCAGTCACCCATAAACGCTGCTCTGAGTACGGTTTGAAGGCAGCAGCAGCATCCAAGAGGAAGAGGAGGGGGGATTCACTCCTCTCTCCTTCCTCTCCACTCCCCCTCCTCCTGTCCCTCTCTCATTAATGAGCAATCAGTTAAAAACTTTATCGGCTCCTATTTCCTTTCTCAGCACATTTTTCCCTTCCCTCCACTGTTTCTCCCAACCACCCGCCTTGTTTTACCTCCTTCTCTAGTACTCTTTCATTCTGTGTCTGTGCCTCTGCATAGCCCTCCCCTGCATCGCTCATTCTGTCTCTTGCTTCCTTTTGCCCCTTTTTATTGTTGCGCTACATTAACTCCATTTTCACTTTTCTCCATCTGGCTCTTTTTCCTCTCATACCCCCTTTCCTTCAATACTCTCTGCTTCTGGTTTACACCTTGATCAAAGGAAACGGAGCCAGAGAAAAACATGTGATACATGTTTAGAGAGTACAAAACATATTGTACTATGTCTACAGCTCAGTCTCAGACCTATTCAAAGTGACCAACACTTGATGCGCAGCCAGTCATAGATTGTGTGTGTGTGTGTGTGTGTGTGTGTGTGTGTGTGTGTGTGTGTGTGTGTGTGTGTGTGTGTGTGTGTGTGTGTGTGTGTGTGTGTGTGTGTGTGTGTGTGTGTGTGTGTGTGTGTGTGTGTGTGTGTGTGTGTAAGATTTTTAAGAGTCTTTTGAAAAGGGTTATTGGAAGGTTGACCTTCTTTCTTTGACGTGTTTCCATCTGAACCTTATCTAAATTCGTAAAAAGGGAAAATATTGGCCAATTTGAATCAAAAAGAAGGTTTTTCTACTGTGAATGTCAAAGTGTATTACATATTCAGAAACAGGAAAGACATATACCGGTAGTACTTTTAACCATCCCTATTCAGCTGAGATGTCGTGTTATTCCAATTAATGATAAATACATTTGTGTAAGATCTTTTGAAGGATTTTTTTTTCTAAACTGTTATTCTACTGTTTTGTATCTGTATACAATAACTTTTTTTTTAATCTTTTGCTGCTGCTTATCTTGGCCTGGACGCCTTTGAAAAGTTTTTAATCTAAATCGAACCTATCGTGGTTAAATGACGGCTAGATACAAATAAAAAAGGTAGAAAAAATAATCCCTGAGGCAGTATGCAGGGTTTTTTGTTTTCATCAGATACTGTGATTGTGTAAAGGTGCTGCAGAAATGAATCACCAGTGTCATCATCCAAATATGTGGAGGATGTTCAGGCTGTGTTATTGTGATAAATAACATTCATGTGGAGAAATACTTATAACAAGACTTTGGACATACTCTTGAAAATTAAACATTGTGAAAACCTTTTAATGTAATAGAAGAATTCAAATTTAAATAAGGATATTATGAGAATTAAAAAACAATTGCATCTCGTGAAGGAGCTCATCAGTGCAAACAGAAATGTGTGTACTTTAGTATAAATAATAGTTTTAGTATCACACAATAGCATACAGATATTCAGGTCTGTATTGTATGGAAAAGCAGGTTTACATGCAACACTTCAGTGTCAAGACTTTATAACAAATAGATCAGTATTGATCAAATCAAGTCATGCTTCCCAGTTTTCACACACATTCTAGGATGATCTTCCTAAAGGATCCTCAATTACAATACTATTCCAAAAAACTCTTAATTTGTTGACTGGGATAAAAACAAAAGAAACACAAACCTTCATCATCAAGGTTTCAGTGAAAAATGTTTTTGTTGAAACTTCACCAAAATGATCAATATATGAGACGCTTCTTTTACTTTTGACTTCTGCCAAGAACGATATGCTTTGTCAGCTCGAGTAGAGAAAAAATGTTGGTCCAAAATTCATGACATTTGGTGAAAGCGTGTGGAATGAGTGAAGGTAGAACCCATTATATTTAGTAGCAGATCCCAAACACAAGATGGATTATTTTTCACCTCTAAATAACAACTTTGGTTACCTTTTGGGAGAAACAAACGCATAAATAACACTTACATAGAAACCATTGCAAAAGAAAATATGTGAACAGTAAACACTGAATGAGCATTATCATATTCCAATCCACAAGTACCACAGCCCACTCCAGCTTTAGAGGAAATATGTACTGTTGTATGTCCCAGTGTCATTAACAGCACTTCCAACAAACCCTCATCTGTATCATACCTTTACATCTTCAAATCCCTCTGTGTGTCAGATGAAGTCTTTCGACAGAGCTTCCCCAAAGTTGGGTGCGGCCATGAGGATAGCGATGGTACAAATAATGTTGAAAATACTGAATCCCATCAGGCACAGGCGGTCAATGACAGCTGCAGCAAACTGCCACTGCTCTGCCAAGCTGACCAGTCGGTCCTGCTCTTTAACGCGCTCCACTAAAAACTGCACCTCCACCAGCAGCTCCTGCAGCTGGTGGTCCACTGCAACAGATCGAAACATCCCGCTGTGGTTCTGCATAGCAGCTGATCTCCCTGCTGCAGACCCAGTCTCCAGGCCGCAGGGTCCAGAGGCTGTGGTTGACGGGTCGGGGTCTATGGACAGATGAGTTTCCAGTGGGGGGCTCCTAAACTTGGAAGATTGAAGGTGGTGATGGATTGGTGTATCTCCAGTATGCGCTCCGGCTGCTGCTCCCTCTCCTTCGCCTCCACCTACTCCACTGTTCACCCTGCCGTGACTCGTGGTTCTGCCTCCCTGCACTTGCTCCAGCTCTGCCGTGGTCTGGAAGGTCTGGAAACCCATATACAGGAGATGGCCGTTGGGCTGTGGATGTGGGTTGGGGCCAGGATCTCTGATATTAGGGAGGATACCAGTATGAGAGCCGGGCCGGTGGGATCCTGGGTGGGACATTGGGTGGGACATTGGGTGGGACATTGGGTGGGACATTGGGTGGTTGAGCTGAGCCAGGCTGGCCTGAAGGGAGTTGAGGCTCTGGGGGATGATAGAGGGCACTGGTGTGGGGTTGGTGGTGGTGGTAGTGGTTGTAGTAGGAGAGGACAGGTTCTTGCTCTGACAGTCGGCCTGGAAGTTGGAAAGAGGCGGCTCCGCTCCCTCTCCAGGACGCTTCATCCGCAGGAACCAAGGAACCCACTGCAGCAGAACTAAGTGCACCTGACACACGAGGACACAAATATTGAAGAAGACAGATGCACATTAACACATGTGGCCTTCAACCGTTTTCTGAGCAGGTTTAATAACCACATCTAAATTTCATCCAAATTCCACTAAGCTTGTCATGTCCTAAACCATTGCTTGGATTTAAAAAATCTAAAATCTCATACAAGCCTTTATTTTGTTCGATCTTCACTTTTCTGCACTTTAACAAGCCTTAAATATCCTAAAACAAGCAATATCCCCAAGGCACTAACAAGCGATGGGATCGTACCACATCTGTTTTTCTCTACACTGGTTGGCGATGCGTTTCAATATAAAATCAAAACAGTTAACTTTCAAAGCATTGCAGACTGCTAGCTGTATAACTCAAAGATAAAGCTGGGGATCAAGCTTTTTCTGTCAAGGCCACAAGACTCCGAAAGTATCTGTCTAAGAATATCGGCTTAGCTGAATATGAGCTCTCTTTTAATCCCCTCTTAATTCTTGCTTTTGATGAACTGGTCCCTTTTATTTTATCCTACTGTATCCATGGTTTTTACGATTGGGTTTTTTCTTGTTTTATTTTTGTATTTGATTGTACTATTGTGTTTTTCAGGTTTAGTTGTAAAGTGTTTTGAATTTTCTTTTTCATATTGTTTAAAAAGTACTTTATACAACTCACCCAGCGTGGTATGTTTCCATCGTTGGGGCTGTGATGATGGAACTGCAGGACCATGACTGTGGCCACTACTGACATCCCGACAATCACCATAGTGCTGGCAAAGTACTGTCCTGAGACGGACAGCAGTGGAAAACATTTCACTCATTAGGATCTGTATGAACAGTGTCAATCCCCCCCAAAAAAACAGCAAAACCCACAAACACATGGGCAATGTGTACACAGAGCCAAACGGACCTATCAGCGGGACAGAATCTGAAGTGGCAGGCATAATCTCTGCCACCATCAGCATGAAAACCGTCAGAGAAAGCAGAACCGTGATGCCTGGAGGCAGAAACAGGACACCGGGGATTGGTTGGTTGCGCAGGAGAAAGAAGAGAGAATCGTTAAAAGAAGAGAATGCAAGCAGTGGAACAGAATATTTTGTATCGTGCAATTGACTTTGTTTCTGCCCAAATCATCTGTCTTTCTGACATCCCTAGAAAAACTCATTTGATTTGAATTGTTCTCATCTTTCTTCTGCCCTTTTCTGTCTTTGTCTCTCGTTCACTCCATCTCAGCCCTCCTGACACATTACAAAAGCTGTGCATTTCACATGGAAGGTTTCAAAGTACTGTTGTCAGAGACCGATTAGAAAGAGAAACACTAGAAGAGGGAAATAAGTAGGGAATGTGTAAAGAATACAGTATGCAGAAAGAAATGTATCCTTACTCATCTCACAGCGGACTTGTTTTCCCTATTTTACATTTAATCAATCTTCCTTATTAAAGAACAATACCACACCCCTGTTCTTCACTACCCTCCTCTTATTATTCCTCACCCAGGCTGATCTTCTCCCCCGAGTTGGCCGGTAACAGAAAGCAGACCAGGGTCATGGAGGAGAGGAGCACACAGGGCATGAGGAGGTTGAGAGCGTAAAACAAGGTCCTTCGTCGCAAGGTCACCACAAAGGTAACATCAGGGTAGGGCTCTGCACAGCAGTCATAGAATAGTTCGTGACGATCTCCAGGGACCTCTGTGGGGACAAAGAGAGGAAAAAGTGCAGCAGAGACGACATTATAATGCAAAAAACACCAGAGAGGATATGAAATGAGAAGCATAATAATACAAGTCTGAGATAGGACCAGCGTCATACAAATATTTTATTACACAAAACTGAAATAGAGAAGGGAGAGATTTGATGTTGGGAAAAACATGGATGTGCAGGGTGGCAGGATATGTATTTTATAAATCAGTAAATTGTTCTAATGTATTTCCATAAAAAATACTGGACTCCATGGTAATTTAAGCACTGTTCCTAAGCAACACTCTTTGTCGTACAGGGTGTCCACAGCCTTTTACCCAGTAGATCCCACTCTCCGTTAGTCATGTATCCTGAAACATCAGCCTCCTTCATCTGGAGGTCCAGCAGCCAGCCATCGAACGTCCAGGAGCCAAACTTCAGTTCACAGCGCTGGATGTCAAACGGAAACCATCGCACATCCACGCTACAGGTGCTGACAAATATTCCTTGAAAACAGCAGGGGAAATAGTCAAAAGGAATGTAAGTGTTGGGCAAAAGAAACTTGATTTAAAGAAAATGTGTTTCATGCAGCCATCTGGAAGTAAACTAATATACTAGGTTGCAGAAAACAATCTAAGGATTGATTTGCTGCAGCATGAGGAACACTGTATGTGTGCAGAATGACTGAATATAATGTCGTTTTGGATTTGAAGACAAACTTGGATCGATTGAACACGTACCTGGAGGCAGATACTCACAGAAGCCGCTGGAGTTAACCAGAACATTGGTTTTAAAGGTGGCATCAAACTTATCATGAGCACTGAAGGATAGGAGCACAGGGGTGAGATAGTTCAGAGCTCAGCAGTGGCACTGTTTGTGTGTACATTTTAAAATACCACACATACCTGTTGTAGAGCAATATGTCAGGTGTCCAGACCTGGTCCGAAGAGAAACGGAGGTTCTTAACTCCAGGATACTCTGACTGGTTCCACTGGAGGTAGTGATCGTACCATTGCTGGAAAAACCCAAGCATAAGACTGGTTTCAGACATAAAACATGACGACATGCATAGATAGACATAATGTCATTTTATACTCTATACACAACATCGTTAGCCTGTTCGTCCTGGAGGAGGGATCTTCTTCTGTTGCTTTTATCTTATTCCAATTGAGGGTTTCAGGATGTCGCCTGTCGTACAGTTTGTCAAGCCGTCTCCGAGAAATTATGATATGTGTTTTGGATGGTTGTTCCTGTCACCTCTCAGCAAAAGGGGTTCTGGGTTGAAACACAATGTCTTGTTTAGGCCTTTTTGTGTCACATTTTCTCCAAGTACTATGCTCCACCCACAGAAATATACATAATATAAGGTTGGTTTTCTTACTCTAAATGGCCGATTTGAGTGTGAATGAAAGCCTTTCTCTGTGTGTCAGCTCTGTGAGGTGTAACCCGCCTCTTGCCTAATGTTAGCTGCAATCAGCTCCAGCCCCCTGCCACCCTGTGAAGGATGAGCTGTTATATTTGATGCATGGGTAGATGGATTTCGGGCTAGATGAATTTAACAACATTAACTTGATAAAACGCCTAGTTGGCGATGACGAAATACAAAATAATATGAAGTTGTTGTCGGGCATAAGGATGAAGGACCGTACACTTTAGTCCAAATGACTTCAAATATCGCCCTGATGAAGATTTCTTTATCATGACACTGAAACGCATGGGAAGGTGCTGTGTAGCTGATCCTGCAAGTGATGGGGGGCATTTTCAGGACACAGATCAATATCCCATCATTAGTTATATTCATTACTCACCATCTGCAGCCAGGCGTTTGTGGTGAGGATCTGGTTCTTTTCATCCTTGCATAACACGAAACATACAAAAGAATAGGTGATATAACTTAAAGCATGGGTCATCAAGGGCCATCAGGGTTAATGCAGGGGTTAACCCAGTTATTGTTCTATAATCTATAGTGTTTTGAATGTAGTTTTATTTAAAAAATTGAAATATGTTTTACAGTGACATGAATCAAACATATTATAAGCAGACATAAATCATTTTTTTCATTCATAAGGTATTGTATGCACTGAAATGTTAACTTTAATCAAATGTATTATGTCACAAAATCTCATATAACAGTATTAGGTTAGTTAAACGCAATAATATTAACTTGAACCAATAACTTTTATTTACACGTATTATTATCGCTTTCAACTCACCTAATACAGTTATGAAATCTGTTGAAATACTACATTTAATTTAAGTAAACGTTTCAGTTTTTTCAGTGTGGATGTATGACTATGATGCATTTTGGGCAATGCGTACCACATCCATGACCTGCATCAGAGTGAAGGAGAACTGAACGGTGAGGCTCTGGGAGTCGTTGGCCACCGGTCTCTCCATGGGGTTGTAGTCCCGCAGCAGCTCCCTGAGCAGAAACCGCTGGTGGGGACCCTGCACTGACACTACAGACGGGGGGGGGGATAGGATGGAAAAGAAAGAGTTGAGTCACCAAAGAGAAGCAAGAGAAAAAATGACAGTTATAAAGCTGTGTTAGGATAGCCAAAGAAGATGGCATGAAGAGAGCAGAAAAACAGTGTGATGAAATTGATTGATGGATAGTTTGTGGGAAATTGGTGTAGAAATTGAGGGCTAGGTGAATGAAAGAAAAGCAAGCCAACAGAAGGAGAGTAGACGTGCTCATATGTGGGTGAACAGAGAAGGCTTTTAGGGGTAAAGTAAAATGTTTTAAAATGGAGATAGGGCAAAGTGATATAGAGTGAGTACACAGGCCAAGAGAAGAGAGCACAGAATGAAAATGTGAGAAAGAAAAAGAGGACAGAAGGCAGGAGCCCGGAGAGGAAAAAATCCTGTTCCTCCTAATCAATTTTGGCTGTGATTGATCACCAGCAGACAGGCCGAGTCTTTCTCAGCGCTGTAAAAATGTCACTTTAATTTCATGCAGGAAATAGTGAGGCCATTAAACACTAAAACACCCCACACAGACACACAGACACACAGACACACAACGATGAGAGTGGGGAACTATCTCTCTCTTCGCCCTTAAACTCCACCCAAGGCTTCGATTAATTTTTGATTCATTCTGCAGAAGACAATCACTTTGATGTGGAGTAGGTTATAATTGGTATAAAAAGCATATCGAATAAGAAAAATAAATAAAAGTATGATTTGAAGAGCTGCAGAATGCCTGCAGGCAAACCGCTGATACCACTTTATAAACTGCGTAGGAGTAGGGCTGTCACAATAATAGATTTATAGATAGATTATGGCCAAAATTATTCACAATAACGAAATTATTGTGATATTTACAGAAAGATCTTTGGGGAAAACTTGATTAAATTCAACTTCATCATCTTTGGTTATTGTGAATATTGTGACTTTTATGACAAGGGAATACACTCAAACTACAAGGAGATGGAGGGGGGTCTCTAACTATCACTAAATACAAAGATAACAATAACACTAATAAAGAGTGAAAAGAAAACCATGAACTGATCAACTAAAACCAGTGCTCACTGCTCACATTAGCCAACATGATATTATCATATGTGTATTACTTACATCAAAGCAATATTATTGTTTTAAATATAGCAGATATTTTCTGTATACCACGACATCCATACATGGGAGTGCTAAACGGTCTAATATTAATGCACTTCCTGTTTGGTGTCAAATCTATATTCTTGAACTATCTTAATAAATATCAATATGACTCCACCGCTGGTGTACCTATAATTCAGATTAATAGTCCATTTAGTGTCCATAATGATTATCCATGCATTCATAGCTTCATAGATCACCCTTCTTATTTTCTGAGCACATCTATCTATCCATCTATCTATCTTTCTTAGATTGCATCTGATTAGTTAACCGTTCTCACTGACAACGCATACATAAGACATGTCGTTAACCATTTTGTTATTGCATTTATTATATTCCTTTTGGATTTGCATCTTATTTATAGATCTTTATGACTGAAGTCTTTCCTACTTTGTATTGCAATGGATGCACAGAAATGTCCTTCAAGATAAAGCTATCTATCTCAAAAAGTCAATTCAAAAGATTTAAAAGAACATTTTGTAATTAATACCAGCTACAGCATAGTTGTTGGCAAGTGTTTTTTTAGTTCCAGATTCCTATGACAATGCACAATACAGTAAGTTTAGGACATACAAAATAGGAAATACAATAACGCAAAAATAGTGAGAAATAACTCAAGTGACATAAGTCTTTTTTACAGTAAAGACATACAATATCAATCAATCAATCTATCTATCTATCTATCTATGTATCTATCCATCTATCTATGTATCTATCCATCTATCTATCTATCTATCTATCTATCTATCATACTGTATAATGCATCTGATTATTTAACCAGCCATTTATCCATCTCTAAATGCAGAGGCACACACACATGCAAGAGAGCACATACAGTATAGCATGCAGAAAACAGACACTTGTTCGAGCACAGCAGCACTCAAAGCAGCAGTGAAAGTCACTCACCCTGGAGCAGAGTCGCGAGCATCAACAGCCAAAGAACCACAGCGTGCCACATACTGCATTCCTCTGTATAAACAGAGAAATAGTGCAGGAGAGAGAAATGAGGGAGGATAGAATAGAGAGAGAGTAAGATTAAAAGCGTGGTCTAAAGAGGAAGAAATGCTACCGAAAACAAGTGGAGAGAGTGTGATACGGTCAGTGACGAAGAAGGGAAAGGAGGGTGAGAGAGAGCAGGAGAGGCGGGGGAGAGCGAGAGATGCAGTGAAACGGTTTATCCTCTAAAGAGGGAGATGCTGTTCCAGAGTCAGTGAGCCGGCATACCTCGAACAACAGCTCACATCCACCTTCACGCCTCTGTGCTCAGCCAGAGCCCAGCCAATCCTGCACCTGCTCACTTGGCACGGATTTCAAGAGGGACTATGGATGCAAATCATGGGATTATATTGCAGCAGTAAGTGGATCTAAATCAAATCTTGTGGAGGAAATGAAAGTAGAAAAACAAGAATATTGTGTGTAAACACAATGGGGATCTATAGGGAAAATATTTTTTCTTTAATCATTCAATAATTTAAACAGTTATAAGTTATAAGTCTGTCAATTTTTTTGTTCACATAAACCAGAAAGCGTTCTTCTGACTTCAATACATTCACAGAGTAATGCTGACACCCTCTGGATGTGATAGTGAAGTGCAAATTATAAAATGTGGTCTGATCTCCCAAAACATCACTATATTTTTAGATTTAAATAAAATATGTTCCTGTTACCTGTACAAATACGATAACAAGTTAATTACGTGTAAAAACAGGAGCCTACTATATTCTATAGATCAGGTTTTAACCTTAGAATAGCACTTTAGTCCCACTCTTACGTTATGACTGTGAAAAAAACAACAATACCCTGTGACACATTTTTTCTTTTTTAATTACTTATTTTGCTTTTTGTATATTACTATGATTGTTCTGTTGGCAGTGATGTCGTATTAGGTCACTACCATGGTCACTACTTATACACTTTAGGCTACATATATTATTGTATGTTTCTTATTCTTGTGTTTATTGCAGAAACAATATTATCTGCCTTGGCAAAAGTTAAATTCATGATCAAGTCTAAAAGCAATTTGATCAGACAAAGCCTACTCTTAATAGAAAAAAGAGCCCTGCTTGAGCAAAAGTTATTCACCCAAAATGTTAAAAACACTTGCAGAGGACACGTTCAAAAATATACGAACCTTGCCCGTGCGGCTGCGTCATCCGCACGCGACGCTAGCTGTTTGTCGCGAGCGATGGGCGTCACTTCTTCGCGCACCAGTTCTTTGATTGTTTGTGTATCACCGATATCATCGCATTGAGTTATTCAACACGAGGCGAATCATAGCCAATTCAGGTAATCTATTAAATACAGTATGGTTCTTTTTGTCATGTTGACGGCTTGAGTTACATGTAGGTTAAGGGTTTTTGCGTTAGCAGACGGTGGTTAGCGGTGCTGCAGGATATAGTGGGAAATGGTGCAGTGGCAGTGCGGTGCATTGAAGGCTAGGAGTGAAGCTAAGGTTAGCTGCAGGAAGAACGCTGTTCTGTAAAATACTGCTAACCTATATCTGCTAGCACTGTAAATAAGGCTTCACAGTAACACATTCAGGGAGAACATGTCCGAACACGTGTCTCTCAGTGGCTTTTATCGCATTTAAGCAACACGTATAACCTGTAGCTGCTCCTGGTTCCTTTTTTCTTATAATTCGTCCACACAGCTCTCCACTTTGAATATAGTATAGTATTTGACCTAGTTTATGTGATTTTACTGTACTCAGTTTCTCACATAACTCTATTTTGTGTAAATATCTTCTTTATTTTGAACATTGTTTTTCAAATAGCTTTGTATATTCATTTTTTGCTACGTATTCTTCTCTCTGTGTCTTTGAATGCACCATTTACCAAAGTGAATTCCTCGTATGTGTTAACCTACTTGGTAACATAAAGGATTCCGACAAAAGCAAAAGCAAGGTGATGACAGTGAGAGTTTTCCTCCCTTAGTGTTTGACCCTGCAAAATAAAGTCAAGTTTTACAATGTGTAACGTTATAGAGTGTATATCTCGTGTATCTCACATTAGCCCAGAGATAACTCTATTCAGAACGTCATAGATCTGTAACGTTTACTCTCATGAGTTGTCAGAATAAATTGTCAGTGTTTATTTAATGGTTGGTTTGATGAGACATCTTGTCAAACTTTTACCATAGCAGAGTTTGAGTACATGGCTTTAGTCTGCATCTAATATTTCTATGCCGCCTGGTAGATTTGAACTGTAAACGGAACACACTGCTGATGTAGTTAAATGAACTCATTCATATTTTCACGAATGTTTCAGTGCCTTTTTAAAGATAAGATGGACCTTTATTGATCCCTGTAGTGAAGTTCAGGTGTTATAGCAGCAACAGAATAAGAGAGAAACACAGACATGAGAAAATACCAAGCGGCAAACTCTGGGGAACAGCCGGGACGCCAATACGGAAGTGCAACACACTGCATTTACATTACATTACATTACATTGCATTTAGCTGACGCTTTTATCCAAAGCGACTTACAATAAGTACATTCGACCAGGAAGATACAACCTTGAAGAAAACAGAATCATATAAGTACATCAGGTTTCATAGAGCCAAACATTTCAAGTGCTACTCAACTGGCTTTAGATAAGCCAGTCCTTTATTAGTATATAAGTGCTTTGTTAGTAATTATATCGCTCGAAGTGGAGTCAAAATAGTTCATACATGGGCCGCTAGGGACTGACTGCAGAAAGGAGCAATTTCCATAGACCCCCTTGTTAAAATGCCCAACTTTACAGCAGAAAGAAAACATGTTTCTACCCATGGATGCAATAAATATTATCGATATAGTTAGATTACACCTTCATAATTATGAATCTGTGAGTGAATTGTTTTCTAACACGACCCTTTTATTTATATTAGGTCTTAATGTTTTTGCATAAATTAGGGCGTGGTCACTTTGATGGACATGTACATGCCTCACTGTCGGCTAACAGCAACTTGTCCACTCTGCTAGGCTACAACCATAGAGGCTACAACGTTAGTTAGTCATAGTACTGTACTTGACCCTTTAGCTTTAGCCGTGTTCGTGGTGATTGTGCCTTTTAGGGAATATTGTTACCAATACCAGACAATTAAAATGTCGTGCTGTGCGCTTGAATGTACTAACAGAACTTCCAAGAAGTCTAAAATGATAATATTATACATGTTAACCCCGTTCGCAGGTATTTGTGTGCTTGGTAGCTTAGCTTGTTACTTATTAGCCAGCTAAGGACATAGCCCTTTATACATACATATACATTTTAGTTTATGATTCAGCCTTGGGTAAGACTTTTATAGTCTATGGCTATGACGCCCATAATGCTAAACGGGAGCAAATGTTAATAGGGGACCCAATTATCCCTGTGGTGGTCGCCGGAGCTAACGGAGCCGCAGAGGGCTAGCTCCAGCCGGCGTCNGTCCTTGCAGCTCAACAGTAACACAGATTGACCTCTTTAACCATGAAGCAGTACCCACAGAAGAGCCTGTGTACGTATTACTTTCTTAAGGCCCAGACACACCAAAGAACACGTCCCGAGAGAACACGACTGTGTTCGCCTCACGTCTCCTGCGTCTTGGCCATGTTTCGCACTGGAACACACCGCAAAGACTTCAGCCGACGGCCAAGTAGCACGTACAAACTGTGCATGCTTGAGTGGCAATAACTCTCCTTACCAGCAGGCGGCAGTAGTGTGTATTCGTCATTCAAAAGAGGCAACAACCGAAAGACAGACTGGGTGATAACCGAGAGAAGAAGAACCCACTGCGTGATATAAACAAACAACAAATAGCGTGTGCGCTGGTCTTCGGTTTCTTCATTCCACATCGCTATGATGAAAAATAAACTCTTGCATCCAGCTGTAACACTGACCAGGGGAACCCCCTGTGGCCCCCCTTAAAAAAAAAAAAGGTTACAATATTACGATTTATTGGAATTAAATCAGAGACCCATATGTACAGTGGAGATTAAACTCTTCATTACCTTATAAGCAAATACTGTTTATGTTTTTTAATTAAATTGTCACTTAAAGTTACTAAAACAAATACTCTAAAAAAACTACTGAAACAAAGGACTGTAACTTAATTTTACTAAAACAAATAGGCCTACCAATTTCTGTATTTTATGTTTATTTTACACAATTACTTTATACTATCTTTGTCTTTTTAACCCGCTTTTATTGTGCCCCCCCCCAAGTCAAATTGGTCTACAACCGCCACTGCTTACAGACATTTTCTGCCCATGTGTGCAGTCAGTCTGTGTGCACCTCTGCAGGTCACGTGACCAACCCAGAAACATAACTTATCCTCAGAAATGAATTCGAAACTTAAGTCGTGTTTATTGCGCTTATCGTATTGTTTCCCTTTCCTTACCCGAGTCATGCAGTGATTATACCCCCAACCGACGTGGTGCAATAGTCAGCAACGCGTTTTTTACCCCCCTGCCTACAACATAAATAAGCGAGCTGGAGATTTTACTGTAGACGCTACAGAAAGAACCTCTTCTCCTCAAAGCGGAAGAAACAACTGCGCGTTGGATAACACTTTTGCCGTTTCATTAAACAAGATCATCGTAACTATTTCTGATCGACAACGGGTTCCGTGCTTACTTAACTTATTTACGATATGATTAGTGAATTGGAATTGCTTTTAATTAACACGTGAGTATTTATTGGTCATTGCGAGGCTACCGGAGCACTAACGTTAAATTCTCTCTTTTTTTCACCGCCGCCTCTTACTCCTCCTATAGGTGAGATTCACAAGGCCATGTAAAGTAAGAGTGTGAGTCGTTGTTGCATGCACTTGTGATTCAACATAACACTGGAATTGGAGCATTTACCAGGCTTAATCTTTGCACTTCTAACTTGACCGTGGTCTCAGTGATGGACATCAGACTGTGTATTGGTGGTATTGTAATGTGCTTTCTGACATAACAGCATGAAGTGTAGGGCTGCTCAATTAATAGTATTTTAATCGCAATTACGATTATGTTTTGCAACGATTACGAAAACAACGTAATTGAAATAAAACGATAATTTTTTTATTATTATTATTACAATTTTATTTTTTTCAGTTTAATTATACTTAAAGTTCAGGGTAATCAACTGTTCAAAACATACTGTTCACATATTGCTTTCTCCAATAAATTGATGTTTTC